TTATTTTAATTTATTTATTTATACTATTTATTAAAAATTTGAATATCTCTAATAATTATCGATATCATTTAGATTTTATAATTAATATATAGGACATGATAAGCTCTATGAGACATTATAAATTTAAAACTTTATCACATTCTTTCTTTATAAAATTTTCTGTTGAAATATAATAGATATGAAAATAAAATTTATAGCGATCTGATTCAGTTCAGGGTAGTAAATAAAAAAAAAAGAATTGTAGTATAAAAATTTAAGGTTAGTCACAATTTTGGGGCAGAAATTATTATGCATCTTTCAGTTCAAATCAAATATCTAAGATAATAAAAACATCCAAGGACTGAACCTCTTCACACTTGAACATCCTATCATTCTATACCTTTCCTATGACAGTAGCAATGGGGGGGGCAAAGGGATCAAGCCTCCTGAAAAATTTGAAGGGCCCCTTGAAAATAAAAGTGAAAGTCATTTTAAAAATGTTAGCTAAAAAAGGTCAATTTGAGTAAAGACTAGTGATGCCACTGACATAGAGCTTACTTTAGTAAGCCATGGCCTAATGATGACAAACCACTGCCATAATTCGTTTTTAAGAATTCCTATATGTAACGAGAAAAACGAAAACCTTTTCTAAATCTATAATAACGTAACATCTAAGAATTTAAATAAAAAAATTAAATTAGCGATTAGAATAATGATATAGTGTTTTAACATAAAAAAATATATCAATCAGCCAATTTACATTTGAATTAAAACATTAAAATAGCCTTATAAAAAAAACTATCTCCTCTTGAAGTTACTCCCTTTTTTATTACACAAAACAAAGGTAAAATATTTTAGAATCTTGAAAATTTGTTGTTTTTAATTTTTTGAAGTGGATTTTTTTATTGTGTATAGAGAGATGATATATTTACAAAAGAAATGTATGTTTTATTTAATGCTAAGTTTATTTTAAAGAAAAATATTTTTCTTTTATAAAAACAGCATCTATATCTATATTAATGTTATGATTGTTCAACTTATTATCTCTCTATATATCATTATTATAATTCGTACTTTTGAAAAAAAATTTTTTATCTTAGTAAATAAACAAAAAATCACCATTATATTAAAGCACGTAGATAGATAGATTTGGGTTATGAAAATAATATATACGCAGATATTTGTATATAAAAATGATATGATTACGAAACATGATTTTTTTATTATCTTTTAGCAAGTTTAAAGTTTTACAATGATTAAAGTTATATTTGTGGCAGAGAAAACTTTTATGTTCTAATTATAACGCCCTTTTTTTAAAAGAACTAAGATGAATTAATATTTATGCATACATTAGTGTTAGGAATGAACCAATTTTTTATCGGTTATCGGTCAATATTGTTAAATTGTCCGATTATCAAAATCGGGGATAAAAAATTATTTAGAATAATAATTAGGGTATTAATATTGAATTATGAATTTGGAAAATATTTTTGGTAAACTATATTTCCTATAGACATTTCCACACTGACCGATATCAACTTATTATAGGTAAATTCTAATCCGTTCTAAATACCTGCATCGGTATATTACATTTTTAGTTATCATCAATATGTTTTCTCCACCAATGTATTATTTTATCAATAATTATTCAATGTGTTTTTTAAATTTTAATCAGATTTCTATTCCAGCATAATGAAGAATACCTACATTATAAACTTCAGACAATTTTTGCCATGAACTATTTCTGATTTATATGCTTTCAAAGAATATTTTATATAAAATTAAAAATGATTAAAATCGTTTAAAATTTATAGGGTGTTTTATACATCGTGCTGAAATTAGTTTTGTTGAGATTTGAGCTAATTTAAAAAAAAACGTCTAACTCAATATTTTATCTAGAAAAATATTATGCAAACCGGAAGATTTTGCTCATAGATGGCACGAAAGTATAGACATCTATTAGGGAAATATAAAGGTTTGGACAATATTTTTCTGGCTAAAATATTGAGTTAACCGTTTTTAAAAATCGGGTTTAATTGTCGTTTAATAGTACGCACTAATTGAACGTTTCAACGCAGCATTTCAAAGGCAAAAAAATAACGTAAACGCAACTATGTTTAAATTCGAACCATTAATTTTGATTTTTTTAATAGGAAATGTCTAAATTAAAAATAAAAAAATGCTGTCCAATTGTGGGCTGTAACAACATTAGCTAAAATATGTTTCCAGCAAAATTCGATATTTTAAATTTTAAAAAGGTACTTAATAAATGATATAGATTGAGAAAATAATACATTGCAGGGCAAAGTAGAGTTCAGCGCCTAAATAAGGGGGAAAGTCGTGATTGGCAACATGCAGGTATATGCTCCTACCCATTAAAAGTATATAAGCCTTTTTAAGTTATATAGGCACCCCCCCCCTCCTTCTTACAATTCATGCAGAGGCAGACACGAGTTATATTTGATAAGTATATATCTGTGTATTTATCTAAAATTTAACTTAATTATAAGAAAAGTTGTTTGTCTCGTTACTCTATTTAGGACCATGCAAACGAAAGGGCGAGGGAGCAGAAGTTCTAAACCGCCAAAATTAAATTATTTATGGGCCGCCCAATTTTATTCTTATGTATTAAGAAGTCAATGGTAATGTAAAAAATTATAAATATTACTTAAATTATGCTTAATATCACCTAATGCAGTTATTCATAACAAATTATGCTTTATTTATTATAATTGCTTAAATCAAAATTGTTCTTTTGCCAAAAATTTTAAAAATCATAAAATTGAAGATTTTTTTTAAAAGAAGATCAAAAAAATCAACATTTTTGAATAGTTTAATTAATTTTGTTTTCAAAAAAGAATTATTTGTGGAATTTTTTTCAATTTTAATATGATGTAATGTAGTATTTATTAATTTTTTTACATTGTTTAAATGATATTGACATATATATTCATTTTTGGGGGAAAGAAGAATCGGAAAGAGGAAGGGGGGATTGAAGAGTAATTTTTTATTAGCTTTACATTATGTAAAGGATACCAGGCAAATTTACTAAGCCCCCTTCCTCCCTTCCCTAGTTATGCCAAAGTACTGTTAAGTGCGGAATGAGTAAATAATGTATTTTTAAACTGCGATGCAACATTTTACAATAAGTAAATCAATATAAACTGCAATTAATATTTAAATTCAAATTAAATTTTAGAATTGAATTAATTTCACACAAAAAAAAAACAAATTTCATAAATAAATAAGTAATAAAACATTTTCCGATATTTATATTAGTCCCAATCCTCTTACACCTGTAACACTCTTATATATTAAAAATCTTATAATATTCTCCAAAAATCTCCTTAACCTATAAAAAATATATATTAAGAGGCTATCCACTTAAAAGTTCACAGATTATCAGTTGTATTTGTATTAAATTATAATATTATTTTTAAAAAGCTTCTTAGTGTGTCCCTACTCCCTAACGATAAAATATTTTCTATTTATTTTATTTGCTTGTTTATTTTTATTCAACTTTCTTTTTTCCCCGAAGAAAACCCTTCGAATTTTCATATCATAACTTTTGTTTCAATTATCATTATAATTTAAAAACTAATATAATATATGATATATTAAGTGGGTAGATAATAAACTGAAATTTCAATTAAGTTAATAAGATTATCCATAATTTTATGGGTTTTTTAAACTTAAAAAATAATGAATTTTTTAAAAATGAAAACTCATAATACAAAATAATGATTCCCCCCCCCCCCCCTTAAAAAATATTTTATATTTAATATAAATATAGTTTATAATAAATAATACCTCGTTTGTGCAAGACCTTTTGGAGCCATCATTAAAATTTAAAAAATATTGGTCGAAAGATAAAAAAAAGTTTGAAATTATTTTGAATAATTAAATTCAAGCTAATTTCCATATAAATTTTGAAAGCTAATTAAGAGAGCTAAATAATACCTCGTTTGTGCAAGACCTTTTGGAGCCATCATTTAAATTTAAAAAATATTGGTTCGAAAGATAAAAAAAGTTTGAAATTATTTTGAATAATTAAATTCAAGCTAATTTCCATATAAATATTGAAAGTAATTAAGAGAGCTAAATAATACCTCGTTTGTGCAAGACCTTTTGGAGCCATCATTTAAATTTAAAAAATATTGGTTCGAAAGATAAAAAAGTTTGAAATTATTTTGAATAATTAAATTCAAGCTAATTTCCATATAAATTTTGAAAGCTAATTAAGAGAGCTAAATAATACCTCGTTTGTGCAAGACCTTTTGGAGCCATCATTTAAATTTAAAAAATATTGGTTCGAAAGATAAAAAAAAGTTTGAAATTATTTTGAATAATTAAATATTCAAGCTAATTTCCATATAAATATTGAAAGATAATTAAGAGAGCTATCATATTAATTATTATATAACTAATATTTTGTAATTGGCTTCGATTCGCATAAATTTTTAAATATTATAATAGAAAACATGTATTATAAATAAAAAAAATTCGATTTGAATATCTTTAAAACAATTATGACACGTCGCTTTTATTAATATTAATAAGCAGGTAGGTAAAATATAATTTATGCAACATATATGTTACTACCATTAATGTGCGGTGCAAATCAGGCAGGAAATATGATATGTAATATCTACGAAATCAGATTTTTAAAATTTTAACACGAAATAGATGATTTAAATTTTCATAACAGACAGAGCGCGTTTTTAAATTTAAGATCTAATTTTACCCCCCAATATATATTCCAGTGTGTGTAAAATACTTACTCTAAAAATTTAAGTAAATTTAGTAAATACACTTTTGGGTTATTTTTAATTTGTGTACTAAAATTGCACTAAATACCTGCTTACGCCCGTTGTTGGTAACATAATACACATCATTGATCTAACTACATAAAAAACTTCCATCTTTTAGTATCTCATAAAATAAAAATTGAACAAGGCAATTTTCTAGATACAACTTATAATTCCTTCTATGTTGGAAAAAATGTTGAATAAAATAATTACGTAAGCATTCGTTGACGTCCTTATCGGTAGCTCTGGCCCATGGTCGGTCGTAGTAAAATTTTTTGCATTTTTCGCACTCGTTTCCGTCAGTGTTATGCTTGCAATCGCAAACCATTCTGTTTTCTGAGTTGCGAACGCATTTGGAACCGTGGCCATTGCATTTACATCTTCCACCCACGGATATGTCAGATATACCGAAAAAATAATCACCAGTGTAGTCATAGATTTGGTCACCTGTTTCAAGGTGATCACTTTTGATTTTTTGAATATTACTATTTTCTATAACTTTTATAGAAGGATTTGGGCGGTAGACATAGTTGTGGGACCATTGGATTGATGGTGTGAAAATAGACACGTTGGGATTATTTATTTGTGAGCTGATAAGATTATTATTTTCGGAGAGATTAGTATTAATAATAGGTAAAACAGGATTAATAGATACAGTTCCCAACCCTCTAGAAGGTAATTCATTAAACTGCTCTTGCTTGTACGCATCGTAATTGTAAATGTGTCGCCTTTCTATAGAATTTGACTCTTTGGCAAAGTATCGAGCGGAAAACAAATCAGCAGTTGTGACATCTGAAGTCAAGTTATTATGGAAGGGAAGGGTTGGTAAAAATGGTGGGAGTGGAGAAGGAAATAATATTATTCTATTATTATCATAACTATTTTTATTATATGATATGAGGTTTTTAAACACAGATTTATTGTTAAATATCGAAGATGAAAGCGGGTAGAGCACTATTTTTATATCGGTGGCTGTTACCCAATCCTGTAAAACGGGACTCGAATCAAAGTCATAAGCTGAAGGCCTACCTTCTAAAGTTGAGAAAGCGATTCTATTATCAATTCCATATTCGTATAAGGATGAGTCAACTATAGATACGTGGGGGATAGATGAGGTTTGATGATGTGATGAATTGGGGCTGTAGAATGGATTATTATCTTTTAATTTAAAAGCTACGCTATTTTTCGATAATTTAGCTGGTTGGGGTAAAATATTAAATTTTTTATCAGTCTTCAGGTATTCGTAACACAGCGCCTCTTGTTCATTAGCCTTGGTGACTTGAGATTTTGGGTTCTTTTGAAAAGTTTTAACACAATCCTGTGCATAATATTGAAATGGTATCCAATTTTTGCGGTGATCCGTGCTTTTATATATTGCCATAGCAACTGGGAGTAATCCGCAAAATTGTATACTGACATATGTGAGCTCGTATTTTTTGTTTAACGAGAGTATTAAATTGACGCTCTCGTCACTTTTGTCATTCGCTTTTTCGGTATTGTGGACTGTATGTTTATTCCTCAAAGGAGCTGAAAGCCAGCAAGTCCTATTATTGGGATTATTTAAATCGGTTAAGTAGTCAATCGATTCGGGGGTTATAATATTTCTTCCATTGGAATGGCATTTATGGCATACTTTGTCATGCATGTCTGTGTTGCCAAATATATCACCAAAACCTTTAGGTTTAACGTCGGTGTTTCTGTGTTCCCAATCTTTATAATAGGTGTAATAATAATTGTTACGATCTTTGTGTTGTTTATTTTGAGAATTACCGTCATTAGCCACCTGTATATCACTTTTGATGAGCCATTGAGTAAGGGCATAATATGAATTCAAGTCTTCGGGTGGCTTGAGAAATTTAAGTGACCTTCTTTTAATGGAACCCGATTCTAATAAATCTTTTCCATCTTCATCGGTTGAATCAGCGAATCCTGAATCATTTTCATCATAGCTGTCTAAATCCCTTTTAGCCGTTTTAAGCGACAGCTTATTTTTATCAAAACCGGAAGATGCATTTAAGTAACAATACAACATATCTATGTTTAATGAAGAATCAGAGTCGCACGAATAAGTCGAATAAAACTTCTTACCAAACGCCACATTTGTAAGATCTGGTAGGCATCTCTTAGGAAACCCTGATATATTGTCATAACAGGGGTCAGTGGGAAGTGATAAACTAGCGGGCAAGTTTTCACCACTTTTAAAGTTATCGTAGAGCTGCGATGACACAACTCTAGGCTTCTCAATCGATCGGTAATAAGAATAAGAAGGGTTATTGTTGCCATTATAATTATTATTAAACGAGCGATATGTCAATTGTCGCGCAGGCCGGTTATCTTGTTTAGGTCGCGAATTAACGGTCGAAAAGTATTTATCCCATTCTAATAACTTGGTCTCGTCGAAAGTCAAAGGTGGCTCTACCGGTCTGTGCCGACGAAAAACTTTATTTTTATGAGGGTCTACGTAATAATAATTTTTGTAGTTTATGTCGGCTACCTCCTTATCATAATTATTTGTTGAATCATGTAAAAATTTTGGTGATTTTTGACTCTGCCTTCGTTTTCCTTTTGATTGTTTAGTTTCTCTCATTATCTTGCTTTTTTCTTGCTCTTTGTAGTATTTGTTAATTTCTTCGTATTTGGTCAATTTTTTTTCAATTTTTTTAGGATCTAGGTTTTTAGAGGTTTCTATATTGTATCCGTCATTACCGTAACTTTTCGGATTATATTTGTAACTCTTTTGAATATTAGATTGACTATTAAATCCTGGGTTATTATTAGTACTATTATTTTTTTGATTTAATTCTTTATCAGGTCGAAATAAGTAATAATAGTAAAGGTCATCATTGTAATGATCTCGGTGTGTGTGGACGGGATTATGTTTAAGCGCAATAGTAGGGGTAATGTTGAAAACCGTTAATATAGTAATTATTGCGAAAAAAGAATTTACGGAATTGACGAAGGATGCTAATTTCGCTAAAGGTTGCCAATTTATAATAAGGTCGATTAGCATAGGAAAACGTTTACTATTAACATTAAGCTTATGTTGTATTGCAGTATCCGAAAACGGGAGTTCATATTTGAAATCCATTAATGGGATGTGATATTTGAAAGCATTGATGTTTATATTGTTATTTTTAGAATATTATAACCCTATATGATCGCGAAAAAGGGGATTCTATAGAAAAACATTATTTCACAGTTATCTATTATTATTTAAAACAAAAAATTAATCAATTCTACATTTTCATATTTCATAACCTTTCAAATGTGTAAAAGCTTTGAAATGATGATATGAACTTTTTTTAAACAAGTTTTTTCTTAACTATTTATCTTCAATTCATGATTTAATTTCTGAAAGAGATCAAAGATAATTTTCATAAGCACTCATTTAGCCTCAACATTCATTATTAATTTTTACATATTTAAAATTTCACTAAATTATTATATGCTCTATTCGGTAATTAATAGTAAGTAATAAAAAAATAATAATTTTAAAATGATCTTATATAATATAACTATAATAAAAGTGGCTAAATTAATAGGAATTATAGTTTCATTTTTTTGTTGTTATTATAAAGTTGCCAATAAATAAGATAAAAATAGTTTATGCTCTTCATAACTAAAAAATTCAAAAAATTATCATAAAAGAATATTATGGATTTTGTTTTTGGAATCAAAAATTAAGTTTCATGAATTCGTGTCCCTATTCTTTCAGTTCATTTTATTGCAAATCAGTCATATTAATCGTATTACTCTAATATAGTAAACGGTAGAGGTCGGTGCACTAGGCTCTAAAATTTTTTCGAAAAGGGAATTCTGTCCGGAGTAATTTTTTTAGCCCAGCCAGAAAAATAATTTTGTACAAATTGTGCGGCCCAGCCCATAATACAAGTGTTAAGACTCAGCCTGATCTTTTTGGCCCGTGGGCTTCAGGCCTCGCCATCAATCAAATCGCTTAGGTTGTTCATAATACGGAGGATCTTTTCTTTTAATATTGTGTATAATCGATGTCTACAAAAGACCCATCCCAAAAACCTAACCCACTAACCCGAAGGTCCTGTCGGGTTTTAATTTTTATGTCGTTTCGATTCGGTTACGTGGGGTTGAGATTTTGTTTTAAAATTCGGGTTGAATAAGGAAAATATTTTTCTTCCTAAATGGGGTTGGGGTTTCGGATTTGATATCCATGAAAAAAATCTCAACTTTAAATCATTTATTGAAAGCCGATTTTTAAATTTAAAAAATATGATTTAACAGGAAATATATTTTGTTGAAATATCTGCTCCGTATATTTCACACAATATTTGCCGTCAACCTTTGTGTATTTTTTCTAAAATTTTTATGGAAAATCTAAATAAAAATTATTATATAAATTAAAGCCACTCATTAGTTCGCGGCATCATGGTATGTAATTTCTAGTGTGGGTACTTAATACATGCTAGAATATATTTCTTGTCAAATCAGATCTTTTTAAATTTGAGCTCTCAATGAGTGATTTCGAATCATGGATTCCATATTACCATACAAGATTTATAGAATATATGCATTAAGGTTTATAATTTTTTTTAAAAAAGATACCATTTTTACCTTTCACTAAAATGCTCGAATATTAATCATCATAAATCAATAAATAAATTAAAAATGCAAAATAAAGTATATTTTTTTTTAAAATTCTGAATAATTTTGTATATTTTAAAATTTATTAGCAAAAAATATATTAATAAATTTTAGAAATTAAAATTGAATTATTTTAAAAATAAAAACGGAAATATTATTTAAAAGGATATCATTTCATTGATATCGATATAATGATTTTAAAATATGACAAGTGTCATAATTTTATTTAAAATTGTGTTGACAAATTAATCTTTTTTTCATTGTTTGACATCTTATTACATTTAATATAATACTATTTATTTATATAATTTTACCTGTTTGAAGTAACAGATAAAAATTGTTATTTTTTACTGAAAAATTGTTTTTTATAATTATTTAAATTCAATTTTAAGGGAAATTAGTGGAAAAAATTTATCATTTATTTAAGCACAGTTGGGACAAATATTTCTTGTAATTTTAACTAAATTTTCAATATAATAAAGTGGGTTTATTTTTACCCAAAGCCTCGGTTATGATCATAAAAATATTTATATTATTATAAATTTAATATAATTTAAATTATTTCTAAAAATATGAGTAGTAAATTACTTTTCAAAAATTTCGGAGTCTAATCACCCCATTCGCACAAATACATTGATGAGATGATAGCGTGTTAATTATAATTATTTTGAAACTTTTTTACATATTCTTTTATAATTGACCAACCAAAAAATAAAAGAAATAAAATATTAAATTTAAAATTTCAATAAATAAACCCTCCCTTTTCAATTTTTATTAACCAATTTTTTTGTATTTCTATTCTAAAGTAGACTTATTCAAAATTAAATTGAAAATCGAACATATGTATACCTACAGATATGGTATTTATTTATATTCTTATAGTTATAGTATTTTTTTTATATATAAATCTTATTAAAATACTTTTAAATTAGTTAAATATAATTGGATATTATTATATTAGACAAAAAATCTGTCGTCTCTAAATTCTAAAGTTCGAAACTTGAATTTTTATATTACATTTACATATTTATAAAGAATAAGTGTTTTTTTTTAAATTATAAGACAACATTCAATTAAAATAAAAAATTAAAAAACCTCGTTTTTTAAAATGAAGTGCAAAGTCTTTTTTATAAAAAAAATGATATATACAATCGGTTTTATAAAAAGCACTTATTATCGCATATAATCTTGTCAATATGAGTGTAGTTTAGGTGCAGGGTTCTGGTATGCTACACCAAAAGAAGGAAATAAATCAGTTTGAAGACTTCGTTATATAATCATCAGAGTTGTTAGCGCTCCTTTTTAAAAGTATACCTTCAAATATTTAAAATCTTTTATTAGCTTTTAAAAGTAATAAATCGTTTAAATTTGAACAAACATCCACACCTCTCCCCTAAAACCTGTTTAGCAATACTAAACAGGCGCTCAACGGGAACACTAGAGGGAATCGGGGTATTGTATTTTATAAAAATATTTTCTAATTCAGGAAATTTATCATAAATACTAATTTTGATATCCATTGTTCAATATATTATCTTCCTGATGATCAATTTTATGGAATCCAAAAAAATCCTCCAAATCATTGCAGGATTCCCGTGAACTAGTAGCTATTTTTGCATCAGGAATTATTTTTCTTAAAAAATTAATTAATTTGTATTTTAGTTCCATATTTGATATTTTTATCCATTCCCAATTTAATTTGAATGCAGGATGGATAATAGCCGCAATGATATTTTCATCATTATAATCATTTGAAAATCTACAATAAAGTTATTTAATAGATAATTTATTTTTTATTTCGATTTCTTCTTCTATGATGTCTGAATCCATAATATCAAAAACTATTTTTTATCATATATCTATAAAATGAATATTAATATGACTTACAAAATTTTCCAAGAAATTTTCAATATAAAAAGAAAGAAAAACTTGATGTTTAATATTTTAACTGATAAGATGAAAAACCAATATAAAACTCGGCTCAACATTTAATATTGCGTAAATTTAAATAAAATGAAATTTCATTTTTATTGAATTTTAATTAACAAATAAATAGATTTATTAATATTTAAAAAATTATTTAATTTATACATTAAATTTAAAAGAGCAGTGAGTTTGCTCCTCCACTCCATCCTTAAAGGGAGCTATCTCCCGCTCCAGGTGTTTTTGAAAAGTGTAGCAGCGCCGTTCCTTAGCAACTCTGCATTTATTTATATTAAATGCTTATAAATCCATTTTTTAAATATTGATAATTTTATTTAAATTATATTTCCCTAAATCCCCTACCCCCTTCAAATTTGTTTAATTAGAGTTTCCCGGAAGATTTTCGTTGACCATAATCATTAAAGTTAATAATATATGAGGTTGGGTGATGTAGGATAGGCTAAATATCCAAATTTGATATTTCTTATTTTTAATTTAAGGCGCAAAGCACTATTTTAATTTTTTATTATTATTAAAACAAGTTAATTATAATATGTAATTTACCATTTAAAAAAATTACATAGAATGAAATTGTAATAAGCAAAAAATGATACATTTATAAATTGTATTATATTGTTTAAAAGTTTTCAAAGTGTTATTACCTGTTTATTTACTTTTCTACTTTCCTCAAAATTTTATTTTCTTGTTTTTGTTATAATATCGATAATAACTTACAATAAAATGACATTGTTTCTCTCCATTCAATTTTTACCTAGACAACTAGTCTCTTAAAAATTTTCAAAATTCCTTATTTTCTAAAGATAATTTTTTTTATATTATAGATGTATTATTTATATTATAGATGTATTATTTATATTATTATATGCATCTTTCCCACCTACTGTGTGTTTTGGTTGACAAATGAACATCATATCATAAAATAAAAATTATACATTATATATAAAAAAGATTTTTTTAAAATATATTTATTATTAAGTTAAAATTTTCATTTTATTTAATATATATTATTTTTGTTAAAAATTTAGGAAATGGGCAAGCGTATATTAGATAGTAATTTTTTTTAAATGATTTATTCGAAAATATTTTGGTATATAATTTTATTCAGTCTTTAGATAACTTTTATTGTTAATAAGTAAAAATAAAAAATATTGTCTATATATGTATAACCATTAAATTTTGGTTTTTTTAAAAAAAAATAAATCTACATTTTTATATAAATTTGTGAAGTTGGTCGTTTTATACAGGTTGTTAAGAAAATATGTCGTCTATGATACTTTTTTAAACATATTATGCTATGAATAAGATATATAAAATAATGGGATTGAATATTAAAAAAACCACAAGATATCTCATATTGAAACAGTTATCACGCTCAGGAGCTGGATGTAATTTTTACATAAAAATTTATATTTATATTTAGTCTAGATATTTACCTAAGGTTATATTTTTTAAATTTTCTACCTCAATGAAAATTATATTATTTATCCTTATATGTTAGAATTTTTTTTTAGTGAGTAGGACATTTAA